CATTTCCAGGCTTTTCAAAATGCATTTGTAGCTCATTCCCAGCCTGAAATAAAACTCAATCAGACTGTCTCTGTCCATGGTGTATTTAGCCTACTCTTATGCTTATGTCTCTACGCAGCTGTCCAGGAATTCTATCAATAAGATGTGCGCACGTTATCTATTTCGTGGCCACAAATTAGCATTTCGTGCGCACGTTATACCTATTTCGTGCCCTCGAAATAGTATTTCGTGGCCACAAATAAGTATTTCGTGGCCACAAATTAGAATTTCGTGCGCACGTTATACCTATTTCGTGCCCTCGAAATAGTATTTCGTGGCCACAAATAAGTATTTCGTGGGCACGTTATACCTATTTCGTGCCCTCGAAGTAGTATTTTGTGGCCACAATTTATTTATTTTTTGGACCATGTCATCAGAGGGGCTCCGTAGATTCAAGTCTAACCAGAAACTAACCTCTCATGTGGTATCGCTAAAACACTGGAGTGTTGACTTTTCTGTGGGACTCTGTGCAATAATAAAACTGTTATCTACAACTTTATTGTACACACATGAATAATACTTTGGGGTTAATGGGGAACAAAATGGGTAGAAAAGGAAGTCATAGTGAGGGCCAGTTTCCACTTTTTATCTCTGAAGTGCTTGTTAATTTATCACAACATCCATCCATCTTCTTCTACTTGTGTAATTCAACAAGGAGAGCTGGAAGCCAATCCAAGCTAGTGAGAAGTGAGGTGCACAGGGTGACAGCACATCACAATACACCAGTTTATAAGGGAAACCTAGATAGTACTGGGTTGTTGCTGCACAGCCACGACGTGAATCCTCTGTTCTGCCACATCTCAAAGGTGCTCTGTTTGATTGTGACTGCAGAGGCCGTTTGAGTACAGTGAACTCATTTACAAGCTTCATGATAAGGTCAATGGTCATAGAGGGAAAGAGGAATAGATATGGTCAGCAACATTACTCAGGTAGACTATGCTCAGTTGCTACTAGAAAACATCCCACATACCATTAAATCACTGCCAGCTTGAACTGTTAATTCAAGGCGGGATGGATCCATGCTTTCATGCTGTTTATGCCACCAGAAATCAAAATTTATCAGGGCAGTTAACCTTCTCCTAACCTTCTATTGAGCAGTTTAGCCTCAGTTTCCTGTTCTCAGCTGACATTAGCCACACCCAGCGTGGTCTTCTGCTGCTGTAGTCCATGCGCTTCGAGTTCTGAAGTGTTGTACCTTCAGATATGCTCATCTGCATACTTTGGGTTTAACACGCGAATATTTGAATTACTGTTGCCTTCCCAGCTTAAAGCAGTCTGACCATTCCCCTATATCGCCAATAAGACATTTTTTCCTCCAGAGAAATTTGAGATATTTTATCTTTTTCTAGAGATGGTCGTGCAGGAAAATCCCAGTAGATCAGCAGTTTCTGAAATACTCAGACCACATTCGAAGTCACTTAAATCACCTTTTCCCCCCTCTTATCCTGCGTTTACCTTTGGGAGGACCTTTCACAATGACACGACTGTCAGGCTTGTGAGTGTATGGAAATAAAAGTTTAATATACAAGCATTTACCTAAACAAACACATTTCTCTTCTTGAGCAATACAGTTTGGAGAGCATAATGTTTTGTTGTGATCATATAGTCTTTAAAAAGAAGAAAAAACATTTAATGCTCAGACAGGGTCAAATCCCAGCTGTGATCTCTCACCACGACTTTCTGTCTGTAATGTCATCCAACTTGTGGTTTCTTGGGTTTGGCTTTAGGGACCACTTTAATGGTTGTGGATGCTGATTTGGCTCCTTGCATGTTCTGAGCAGTGCAGGTGTACGTTCCTTGGTCCACGTCTCTAACTTCATCCACGAGGAGCACAGACTGAGACTGCTGCTGAGCTGTTCCTCCACTGACCGGAATAACGCTCTCCTGTGTGTATGGAGGTCTCCCAATCTGGACCAAGCATAGGAACTCACACACACACACACACACACACACACACACACACACACAGCACACACACACAATCTGGACCAAGCATAGGAACACACACACACACACACACACACACACACACACACACACACAGCACAGCACAGGAGTAAACATTACAATGAGTTATCATGTTGCAGTTTATTTCCTCATGGCTCACCAATAAAGACATATCTATTATATTCCTGTTTAAAGGGGATAAGGTTCAGGCAGTCCATAGGTTGAATACTTTTTGACTAATAATAAACTCGCTAAAAAGGCAACGCAAGCTAAACCGACTGAAGATATTTGCCAACTGCAGGACTTTTTTTGAGTAATATTTCAGTTCACAACCTAGAATTCATGTTCATACTATTTCAGAAAGAAAGCTTATTAGAATTAATACAAAAGCCATACAGAACTAAGCTAAGTTTGTATTAAAGCATACAAGCCCTGTTTCCACGAGTGTCTGACCTCTTGTCCTGGGTAATCCCAGGTGAACTCTATGGCCACGTCTCGTTCTCCCATCGCAGAGCAGGTGACACGTAGATTCTCCCCCACAGTCACTGTGCTCGGTGACGCTTGGATCACTGGAGCGGGAGGAGCCCTAGGATCTGAGAGCAAATGTGATGTATTAGTAAGTAAAATGTTGTGCCGTCACCAGTAATCCTGTAATTAAGGGTAATTTTCATCCTTAATTTTGAAAAGTTTTCATTGATTTACAATAAAAAAAAAACAACCCATAAATGCTAAAATTCTGAAAAAATTTCTAAAATTTTGAAAACGTGAACTCACAGTTAACATAGATGAGCATGTACTTCATAGAGCTCTGCCGCAGGTTTCCCAGACTGGCAACACAGTACAAAGCTCCGGCATGATATGGCCGAGGTCGATGGATTGTGAAGCCCTTCTTGACATCAAAGGAGATCTCCCTCCTGTCCACGTCCAGCTCCACAGGTGGGTACTCACGGTGCAGAGTTACTTTAGCCTCAGGTGACGTCACCTGACAGGGTAGGACTGTAGGCCAGTTGCTCCTCAGCTGAATCACCTTGTAATAGTCAGACGATGGAACAAATAGTTCTTGTGGATCTGGTCCGTACAGAGAGGAGATATGGCAGATTTATGATAAGATTATTAGAATGTAAAAAAGATTCCTGTCAAGTCTGCAGTTCAGAGAAATGCAAGCCTAAGCATCAATAAAATGTATTAATCACACCTGGAAAAAAGACGAAGACTTTAACAGCTTTGCTGTATTCCTTCCTGCAGTCAGTGTCTTCACAGTACATTGGGTAGCATGTGTACTCCCCCGTGTCTGCACCAGTGGTGTTGACCAACGTCAGAACCCCATATCGCTCATACTGGACAATTCTGCACAGCCAGAGCAAAAAGGAGCGAAAGAACACATTTACTTCCTTACTTACTCAAGCTTATACTGCACTTTATGAGTAAAGATCTGTAGACATGAAAAGTTACCTGAGCCTCCCATCATTATCCTCCTCCAGGTATGGGGGGACGCTCCACTGCACAGGTTTGCCCCTGCACCTCAGCTCCAGAGTATCTCCTGTTTGCACATTTATGGTCTCACCCACCTTCTTAAACTTCCCTTTGTTTAACACCTTTATTAGTCAGACACAGACATGTACTTTAGTCGTGAACTTTGCAAAATCAAAAAGTTAATTTATAACAAACGTAATACCTGCGTGAGGAGGGTCTGCTCTGCACGTGCAGCTTTGACCTTCGGTTTGACTGTTATCGTTCTGGGCCCTTTGTTTGTTGATTTCTCATGCTTTGGTTTCCTTGGCTTTGGTGTCCTTCCCGGAACAGCCTTCTGCTCTTGGGCATCTTTTTGGCAATATTATACACAGTACGCAGAGCACATGTTTCAGAATATTTTACAAACAAAGACAAGGCTGCTACAAGTGAGAAAAAAAAGTTCATTTTTGCTTCTAGAATAAGCCACATTGTGCAAAAGACAGAAAGAAAATTGCCCTCCTCACCAAATCTATGAATATCACGTTCACCGAATTGGATGACAAGGGACTAATGTCACTTACCCAACTCGAAGATTAAGGCACAAGTAAGGAGAGCAATGAGTACCAGCCTCCACTTTGACCCAGACATGTTCGCCAAAGGCATGGCTGATGAGCTGATTGTTAGTTCATGGAGTTCAACCCAGAGAAATATACAACAGAAATGAAAAGGAGAGAAGAAGAAAAAGAAGGAAGGAGGAGGGCAAAGCTTGCAAAGTGAGCAGTCTGCTGTTTATTAGAGTCACGCAAATTCCTTTTCCTCGGAGTGGCATTAGTACCCTAAATTCCTTCAGTGTGGCTCAATGGAGGCTTTCAAGCCTGTCCGAACCAATGAGGGTCCAGAGAATGAGGCCCCTCCAATCTGGAATGGCACAGCCTGTTTATTTAGCTGCCGGACTGTAAGTGTACTAGCAGCATGAGTCTGAACCTCAGAAACACTGCCTGGAAAAGGAGCATTTGGTGTTTAATACACTTTATGTCCTTCATTACTGTATTTTATGGGTAAATAAAAGTTTTGTCTCAGTTAGCTCTAGATTAATATGTTGGTTTTTTTTAAATATGCCTGAAAGATTTGCACCTAAAATATTCACACATTACTTAAAGTACATTTTTGAGATGTCGAATGCAGTGGAAACAATGTAAACCTTTCCTTGTGAGTGGCCAGCTAAGCTGTGATTTTGAACATGACCGCTATAAGCTTCTTTTCAAAGGTCCTTTTGTTCTCAGTCGACTCTAAATAGTGAGCCATATCTGCTTCTTTGTGCACGTCTGCAGTGGGAATGAACTTATAGTAGTCCTTTATTTTTACCTCTTTATCGACACAGACTGCAACAAGGTAACTCCATATTTAAGTGTTTTACAAAAGCGAATCATTAAATTTTTAATTCAAGTGTACAGTGGCAGTCGTTTAGTTAACAATCACATGCAGTTTCCATATTTACAAATGGAAGATGAAATCCCATAAAAGGTTTTCTGTATCAGCTCTGTAAAATATAAGGTCTTCAGTCAAATTCTGCACATTTAAAAAAATATATTAAAATAAAATTAAGATAATGTAAAACTGAAATAAAAATAATTTACATTTTGCACTTGATAAGAAAAGTGTAAACCTGTTATTTCAGAATTATAAAAGCAAATAATCTACAGAATATTTTTTCTTTGGAACAGGCTCACTAATACGACAAGATATACAGATAAATATCCTTAACAACAATGTGAAAATCAGTGATAAGTGAAGATCTTCTCGGTCCAAATATATCTTAGGGAGTTTTTCATTTTGGACCATTTAGATAACAAACAGACTGCGTTAGGATGTAATAAACCGTCAAGTTAACAAGTTATCAGGCCATTTGCTTCGGTGCTGTCGTAGATTGAAGACTGCTGAAGGGCAGCAGCACCGGTGCATCTCAAGCAGTGGTTATAAGTTAAAGCAAGTCGCTCACTGTAACATCTCAGTTTATCTGTCTTCACCCCGATTGAGCTCAGAATTTCTCTTCTTTCATACTATCCTTGTCTGTTTTGCCGCTGACTGTTTCGATCTCTGCGTGGTCGGTCATGAGTCGCTTCCTCTGGACGCTGTTACGCATTCCATAGATAAAATAGATAAGTAACCCTGCAGAAGAGAAGAAAAGAGAAGAGTGAGGGTCACCCAGCTAGATAGCAGCCCTTTAATCCTCTCAAACAAAAATATACCCATCATACCTATTAGCATCCAGACAGCATATCGGATCCATGTTTGACCGCCTAACTGCACCATCAGGTAGACATTGATTAAAGTACTCAGTAAGGGCAGAAGAGGGATTAAAGGTACCTGAAGAAGGAGAAAATGCAGAGATGTGAGATTCCTACTTGGTGATTACAAGAAATTACTTGAACCACTTCTTACCATGAACGATGCCTTTGTGGGATTCTCTGGGTGTCTCCAGATGAGGAACAAGTTGACCAGCAGGAGCACTCCAAAGATACAGACAAGCACGATGCTCCATGCTTGAGTGTTGGCAAGAGCTTCCATGCCTTGGCTCAGAGTAATGCACAGTGCAAGAATGCACAGAACTGCAGTGGGAAAGTAAAAGACGAGAAAGAAAGATTAGAGGCGGTAAAGCCCGTCATGAACCTGTTGCTGGTCAAGAAAAGAACTTCAGTGCTACAGAAGCATCAGTAAAGATGCCTCAGTGATGTTTTCCTTACTTACTAGAAAATATGGTCAAGAGCGTGACTGTTCGTGCTGTGGAAGAGTTGGGTGTTTTTGGAGGTTTGAAGAAGCTAAACTTTTTCTTTGATTCTGTGATCTTAAGTTCTGTGTCTTCAGATGGACCCACCTGGTACCTACAATGACCACAAAAAATCAGTCGATTTGCACAGCAGAGTGAATACATAGCTGCAGGGTGTTAACAGATAAATGTACCTCAGTATCAGGATGCATACTGCCACGAGTGTGTAAGCAAACAGAGTACCAATGGACATCAGTTCCACCAAGGCATTCAGATCAAACAGTAGAGCCATGATGGCTAAAGCCAGGGAGAAAAATGGAATTAAATGTTATTTCTAGCCCATAAACCTCGACCTCTGTGGATCATGCAGAACAGCATTAGCATAAGTACAAAATATTATACACATGACACCTACGGGAGTTGCTCTGCTCAGCTATAGAAACCTACATCATGAAGCTCCTGGCACACAGTTTTTCTGCTGATGTTAATACCAGAAGAGGTTGGAGTCATCAGTGTTGGTTACTTTTTCTATGGTGGTATCCTATTACAGTACCACAGCATACCACTTAAGTCCAGTAAGCTCTTTAGAGAAATGTTCACACGCGATTGTACAGGCAGACTGCATGGCTGGATTCCAAATGCATATTGCAATGACAATAAAAAGAGCTGAATTCATAGATTAAGAGAGAGAGTCAGAGAGACTTTATTTATCCCCAAGGGGCAATTAAGATAGATACCCACACAAGGTGGGGCACAGTACCTCTGTGTAAGCATCTGTAAGCATCATTAAAATAAGAGTTATAACTGGACACATTCAAAAGTATTTTATTACATGTACTATTTTTTGTTTTAGGTTTATTACTTCTATTATATTTACAGTACTTTTATTTATAAAGTGTATACCTGTACCTGCCACAATGCCAGATGATATAGTAGCTATTGCTGGACTGCCTCTGGAGGTGACTTTGGACAAAGGTTTGAAAAGCAGCCCGTCTCTCGCCATGGCAAAAAGTACTCGAGGCATCGGGAACATGGAACCTAGCAGACTGGAAAGACAAACAACAAAATGAATGCAGTGTCCGATTAATTTGTAATCTAAATTAGTCATTTCACAAATCAGTGTCAAAAGGTCACTCTAACTAAACCAACTGATTTGACATATGGCTTCTTTTTAACAGCTTAATCTGCTATGATGACTGAAGTCAGAAGATTGTACTGGCAATTTCACAATTTATCCACCTCGCAAACATCAGAGGCAGTGGAAGAATCATTCACAGCCTCTGGAACCTGACACGTCCTCCACACCTTGTCTGTTAATTATTACTTAGCTGAGTTATTTTACGTTAACGTTACATTTTTAATGAACTTTTTGAGTTAGCTACTTTTCTAGATTTATTTTTCAACATTTTGGACTTTTGAACATCCATTATCATTTTTCTATTTTTTTCCAAATAAGATACATTTATTTTTGCACCTTTTTCTTTCTGACTTTGAGCTTTAAACATCACTTGATCCATGCATGCACTACCCATACTGTCATACCTAGTTGACAGGGCACACAGTGAACCCACAGCCACGGCATATTTGGCAGGACCCCATCCAATGTAGTCAAAGGCTATTGGCAGTGGGCTCGTTTCACTTAGCAGGTAGTAGGGCATCATAAGGGTGAGAGCAGCAGACACAGCAAAGTAGGCCAGGAAACATATAAGCAATGAGACCACAATGCTAATAGGGACAGACTTCTTCGGGTTCTTCACCTCCTCTCCTAAAAGAAAGGAAACCAAGAAGTTAGTGACCCCCTTACAAGATATATCTCCTGCAGGAGTTTCATGCATTGTTACACAAAAATCATAAAAACTAGTGGAGAGAATCATCTGCAAATTATGTCCTCAACGTTAAACTTTGTCAGTCTGTTTTAGCCAATAAGATAAAGTTATCCCACTTCAGTTATTTATTTATTTTTGCTACAAAATGGAATTGTCAAGCATACCAACACAGTTACTGAAACCTGCCATAAATGTTGCGTTAAGACGGAGTCAATCTGCTATCTCACTGCAATTATATGAGGTCAGTTTGGAAATTACATGTAATCTGTGTCTGATAACACAGACAGAATTTCAAATCTAACTATTAATCTGCACTTCCTGTTCTATAGGAATGCAACCAGCTGCAGCCAGCTGAGTCCAGTTCCCTCGAGTTTTTCTCATTGACATCTGACTGATGGCAACATGCTGGCAATCTGCCTGCATTTATAAATCAAATGCAAGTTATTTGTAAATTTGTAGAGCTCTCTGAGTGATTACAGTCGGTCCAAGTCCAACCGTGATTATTTACAGGAAGATTGTTCGTTGTTCATATTATTCCCAGAGTGTTGTCCCTGCATCGATACAATATTGCCACACAAAATATTGCGATACAATAGCGTACTGTATCGATTTTTCTAACCCTTTCCCAGCACCACTAAAAAAATAACCCCATAAAAATGTAAAGAATCTATGGTGAAAATTAAAAAGTTTATAAAATTTAAAATAAAAAAGTGGAGGAAGTTTATTTTATTTTTAGTGTGCTTTATTAATGAGTGTAGAGGAAATACTCATCGTTATAATTGTAATTTACTCCTCTCTGGAAATAAAGCACTATTTCATCCATTATCCACGATTGCAATATTTTTTCCATCCATTCATTCTCTTCCAATTATCTTTGTCCTTTATGTTATGTTATTATGTTATGTTATGTTGTGTTATGTTATGTGTTATGTTATGTTATGTTTGTTATGTTATGTTATGTTATGTTATGTTATGTTATGTTATGTATTTGTGTTGTGTTATGTTGTTATGTTATGTTGTTATGTTATGTTATGTTATGTTATGTTTTGTGTTATGTTGTTATGTTATGTTGTTATGTTATGTTATGTTATGTTATGTTATGTTATGTTATGTTGTGTTGTGTTATGTTGTTATGTTGTTTATGTTATGTTATGTTATGTTATGTTATGTTATGTGTGTTGTGTTGTGTTGTGTTGTGTTATGTTGTTATGTTATGTTGTTATGTTATGTTATGTTGTGTTATGTTGTGTTGTGTTATGTTGTTATGTTATGTTGTTATGTTATGTTATGTTGTTTTGTTGTGTTGTGTTATGTTGTTATGTTATGTTGTTATGTTATGTTATGTTATGTTTGTTATGTTGTGTTGTGTTGTGTTATGTTGTTATGTTTTGTTATGTTATGTTATGTTATGTTATGTTATGTTATGTTATGTTATGTTGTGTTGTGTTGTGTTGTGTTGTTATGTTGTTATGTTTTATGTTATGTTGTTATGTTATGTTGTGTTATGTTGTGTTGTGTTATGTGTTATGTTATGTTGTTATGTTATGTTATGTTGTTATGTTGTTATGTTATGTTATGTTGTTATGTTTTGTTATGTTATGTTATGTTATGTTATGTTATGTTATGTTATGTTATGTTGTGTTGTGTTGTGTTGTGTTGTGTTATGTTGTTATGTTATGTATGTTGTTATGTTATGTTATGTTATGTTATGTGTGTTGTGTTATTGTTATGTTATGTTGTTATGTTATGTTATGTTATGTATGTTATGTTGTGTTATGTTGTGTTGTGTTGTGTTGTGTTATGTTGTTATGTTATGTTATGTTATGTTATGTTATGTTATGTTATGTTATGTTATGTTATGTTGTGTTGTGTTGTGTTGTGTTTGTTGTTATGTTATGTTATGTTATGTTATGTTATTTTGTGTTGTGTTATGTTGTTATGTTATGTTATGTTATGTTATGTTTGTTATGTCATGTTATGTTTTGTTATGTTGTGTTGTGTTTGTGTTGTGTTGTGTTATGTTGTTATGTTATGTTATGTTATGTTATGTTATGTTATGTTATGTTATGTTATGTTATGTTTTGTTTTGTTTGTGTTGTTTTGTTATGTTATGTTATGTTATGTTATGTATGTTATGTTATGTTATGTTATGTTTGTGTTGTGTTGTTATGTTGT